ATCGCGAAAAAGAAAGTAGGAATAAACATTGCTGTGAATTTTCTTTCGACGAAGTAGATAAAAGTGATGAGGGGCTGCTCTGTGAGGCGAGTCGATGGGTTCCACGTTCCACCTGTGGCGTGGCGTGGCGTTAACGAGCTGTCCACCTCCTCTGGCCCACCGGCTCCACCGGCCCGCACTCCGGTTACAGGCTGCGTTACGTAGTTCCCTCGTGACACCGCTGCAAACCCTAACCGTCAACCGCCCCACCTCGTGACGTGCAGCAGAGAGAGAGAGAGAGAGAGAGAGAGAGAGAGAGAGAGAGAGAGAGAGAGAGAGAGAGAAGTGAGAGCTCTGAATTAATCCGAAGAACTCCCCCATCTCCCTCTCGGCATAGATCGAGTGCACAGAAGTGCACCTGCAACGCGCGGGGTGGGGCCAGGCGTTATTCCCGCATCCACGAGAAAGTTTGATCCGAGCTGTGAAGTAGTGTTCTCCGGTGAATGAGTGAGGAGATGGTGTTGGGAGTTGTCGACGACGGACGACGACGAAAATGGTAATGAATTGGAAACTTAAAAGAGGTTTTCTCTCGAACTTGCATTACGTACTCGTCACCTTTTGCCCTTTCCTCTTTCTGTCCAATTCGTGCAGTATGTGTCGCGCGCTATGCGGACGCTTATTTGCAATCACCAGCACTCCTAAATACTGATTAGATGTGCCTCCTGTTCGGCCACATCTTCATTTTTTACGAATTTTCTCTTTTATTTGGTGAAAAATTATTATGAAAAGCCCATTTTTTCTTTCGAATTCGATTCGAATTCAATTCGAGGGCAACAATGCTCTTTATATTTGCTACAACTTCAGGGCTTAATAGGATTCAGCAGGAGCTTTATATAGGCTGCAAATAAGCATATTACGAAGAATTGCAGGGAATGCTTTGCAATTGATGACGAGCACACACGAACGGCTTGAGGTGTCGCGCGAGACACGCCGCACGCGGCCGCCAGCGGGTAATGGCTGCGACCTGCCCCGGGGGCGGGGGCGGGGGCGGGGCGGGGCTGGGGGCGGGACGAGCTAATGGACTGGGCATGCCCGCCCCACGCCTTATCAATGGGGCAGCAGTATGGTCTTGTTTGAACGTCAGCGGGCGCCAGGAGGAGGAGGAGGCACACCACTGCAGCGGGCAGCCCCTCTTCAGGGGAGCCGCAACAACTTTTTAAAAATATACCTTTAAAATGACAAGAAAATATAGGAGGATTTGCTTTCTAAAGCTATATTCTGACCAAAACTCGTCAGCTCCACAGCCATGCACGGAAAATCCCGATTAGTTGGAATCGCAAACACATCAGTTGCGGCCGCCCAACTAACATGTTCGTTTTCCGATCTGTAAATTGCACCCCCTAAAAAGACCATTTCCTCAGGTGCTCTTAGTTTTTTCGTGCGAGAAACCAGGTGTGGCACACAGCGCGGTAGGTCGGGGCTTCGCCTTATCTATCACCAGTCTATAAATTGGCGATAGGGGTGAGATGACAAATTGAGTCTTATAATATAATATATTTGTTTTAACTAAATTTGAAGTAGATGATCTCTAAACCTTGCTCTGAGTATGAGTCAGGTCGAAGTTTTATCACTCGTTTTGGGCAGCTCCCCGGTGCCGACCCCCGGTGCCTGTACTCCCTGTGCCGCCCACCGGTGCCGCCGCCCCCCTGGGGAGTCTGCAGCAGCAGCCGTCGTATGGCTGCGCCGGGACAATGGAAGCCACTAATTCGAGTTTCGTTAGGGAAGTTAGTGACTGACTGCCGTATGTAAGTAGGCGCCGGCGACACGTAGCGAGTGCGCGGCCCACCCTGGGGAGGACCACGGGGGGGGCAGCCGTCTCGCGGTGACCCGGCCCCACCCCGCGCCACGCCCCAGCCCCACGCCCGGCCCCGGCCCGGCCCCTAGCTGCGCACCGGAACACAATTAAAACTTAAATAATTGAAGCTATACCGATTCGAAAGGGAAAATAAAAATGTCCGCTCTAGGCGTGCGGGCGGGACCGGAGATCATAAGGAAGCGCTTTGAGCAAAGTTTGAGCCGTCTATCGCGATACCGTCCACTGCGCCACAGAGTCGCGCCAAGGCCGAGCAGGCGGGCGGTCGGCTTGCGCCGGCGGTCCCCCGCGTCCGCGGGCCGACCAGCGCTCTGAGATGCGATGCGACCAGCGGGGGTCGGAGCCTAAGGACTCTAACCTGACACAGGCAGCACCTCGCTCTTTCATACCGACAAAGTACACGCCGGGGTTGTGGCGGTGCAGCAAAGCAACGTGGCACGCAGAGCAGAGGCAGGAGAGAGAGAGAGAGAGAGAGAGAGAGAGAGAGAACAAGAAAACTCATAATGTGAGTGGCGCGTTATGTCTTTCGTCTTTGCCATCCAAGTCTTCACTCAAAGAAGATGAGTATATCTAACCTTTATAGAACACCCACGCAGTCTGCCAACCCAACCCTGCCGTCCTAATAATGTCAAATACGGGCCTGTGTTGATCTCAATGCCATGTGTTTTTAGCAGCAGGCTGACTTACTAACACGATAGGTCGATGAAGTTATATGTGTCTCTCAAGGCTCAAGGACCACCCCCTCCCGCCTCCTTTCCTTTTTCTACTCTTCCCCATTGCTGCAGACCCGCACCTGGCTGTATAAATACTGCGAGTCTCGTGTTTGGAACGTGGGGTAACATTCTGTGGGCGTTATTAAGACGCATGCTATGTGTGGGGTGCTGTGCGGGGAGGGCGGAGAAAGACGGGGGGGGGGGGGGGGGGGGGAGGGAGTCAGAGAGGAGATAGGCGAGTCAGAGTAACCCGCTCACCTCGTTCCCGCAATGTTCTACAAAATACTTGCAAAGGAAAGTTCGTTTTTTCGTTCGAAATGCAAACGATTTTTTTTGCAGCTTGCGAAAAATGTTGAAGCTTCATTGTAGTACGAACTATAATTCTCCGCAAGCTTGCCATGCAAACAAAATGTCTACAAGGATCCTGACGGCTTGCAAAGAAGTTCTTTGCAATACGAACTAATTCGTTGTTACGTCGCAAAGAATATGATTTGCAAGCACTTTACAGTGAGCCAGCAGAAAATAAGCTGAACCTTATTGTCTTTAACCAAGGGTTTGGGGTTGATTATAAAAGTGATGAGAAGGGGGTCCCCGTGCACATACCAAGACTTTTTGTTTTCCTATCCTGACATTTCTTAGCTCCACTTATATCTGGGAATGTGGCAGTAAATGCTTTGAGCTATTTTCTCATATCTGCACTGGAAATGCAAGTGTGTGAATGTCGCTCACCTGCAGGTGAGCGACATTCACACACTTGCATTTCCAGTGTGTGTAGCCCAGTGCAGTTTCATTTTTACACTGGAAACGCAAGTGTGTAAATGTGGCTCACTTGTAGGAGTGTGAATATCCATTCGTACACTTAGAGGAGTAAAGGTGTGAATTTTTCCTAGAAAATTCACACGTTTACCCCCCTCAAGTGTAGGAACGGATATTCACACACCTACAAGTGAGTGACATTCACACACTTGGGTTTTCAGTGTAACTGGACTCTCTACAGCTACCTTGTTATTTATAGATATGAAAATTTACTTTCACCCTTTTTTGACAACATTTTTGACAACGGTCACTGAACGTGTAAAAAAAAATGGCTTAAAGGGGCTTAGGCTATTGTTTCATATGAAAACAAGACCTTATTCCTTGTTTCGGTTTGTTTGGATTTTTTGATTTTTTACACCTTACACTGGGAACTTGGCTGTTCCATCAGTCTTCAAACGTCCAGACCAACTCGCACGCGCGTTAAGAGCGGCTGAGGTGGACGAGTCTGGTATTTGCATGATCTCTGTGCCGCCTTTTTCTGTTTTTCGTTATTTGAAGCTTTTGTCTTTGTCCTGAATGTCTGACGAATAGCTTTTGGTTTGGCTCTACTCTTCGCACTGTAGCTTATCTCGCCGCCCCCGACGCTATCGCTGGACGCGCGGTGCAGCTCCCGAGCACCGTTTGGGAATCAGTGAGATCCGGGGGGAGAGGGGCGAGCCCCTGCCGCGTGTATCCAATTTATAAATTTATTTTCCGCGCCAAAAGTATCGCGTGTCTCCTGCCTGATTGGTTGTTTGCAGAAGCTGGTCGCGCGGTGCAGCGGCCGGGCGCTAACTTGGTTAGCAGCTGCAGCAAATACGCACTGCCATTTCGCCCACACGTCACATACCAAAGGCTGTCGATGTCATCTTTGTAATTTTCAAGTGTTTCTTTTTTCCGCCTCACATTCGCGCATTTTCTCCCTTCGGTTTCATTTAGTTTTCATTATTGAAGCCCCTGCTTTTGGGGGCAAGCCGTGCCTGAGCCGCGGGGCTCCTTAGCATATCGGTGATGTAAACGCACTGACGGGCCCCGGACTCGCCCCGCCCCGCCCCCTGCCCGCCCTGCCCCCCGTGCATTATTCAACCTACATTAATGCTCCAGGACCTTCTCTTCTGCCTGGCCGCGCTCCTTTGTCTGATTCCATTTTTTTTCTCCATCCTCAACCTCCCAACCTCCTCCCGCCCCCGCTCCTCAAGGCTGCTATATGGTCTTGGTCACTCCCTACACGTGTGGCGCGTTCCGCTGCCAGAAGAAGGCCATGGTCTTATTCCACTGAAATACACACTCGCACAAAATGAAGTGGCGCAGAAAAAAAATAATTTGGTTCTGTGTGTGCGAAAGCGCTAGTTCGGTCTATGGATTTTAAAAGTTCGAAACTTTTCCAGAAAAAACTTGGAAACACTTTGAAATATTTCCAGAAAAAAAAGGAAAAAATGAAACTTCCCCGAAAACTTTCTACTTTTTAAAAATATCTTGAAAAATTTCCCAAAAATACTTTCCTTGCAAGATTGAAATCTCTTGTTCAGTCTGACCCACGGAACTGTGCTTCCTGGTGACGCGTCGCTCCTAATCACGTTAAGCCCTCTCTTGATTTGGTCGGCTGGCGGGGGGCGCGGGGCCGCAGCCGTCTGACTCACCTGCTGGTTTCCCGTCAGGCGCGGCGGCAGTGGCTCAGCATCGCCGGCCGCGAGGTGCAGCAGGGCTGTCTCGCGCGCTGTCCGCCACCGCGGGGGCTGTCCGTCTACGCTGCGCGCTGTCCGCGTCCCTCTGTCCGCCGGCGCGGGCTGTGAGCAGCACCGCTGGCGCGCGGCTGCGCGCGGCACGCCTGCAGGTGTGTTCACTCCAGTTGCCGACAGGTGGTGGTGCCGTGGCGTGGCGCGGCGTGGCGCGGCGTGGCTGGCTGGCCCGATCCCTCCCGTCGCGGTGCCCGTTCGCAAATGGGGATGGCGGACCCACGCTATACGTTATAACCCAACCCCACTCCCCACTCCCGGCGCGGCTCCGGCGCGCCCAGCCAGGCTCATCCCCCACCGGCCCC